CATCCCACTTAGCATTTCAGAACAGCGTGTTCCTGCCCTGAGCAGAGTATTTTGTCCCTTGTATCTCTCACAGGAGACATACTACTAATCTTGAACCCTGGCTGGCTGGCCATAGAGCAGGACCCAGTTCTGGCTCTCAGGCCTACCTGGCAGGATCCCCATCAAGTTGAACTGTGTGTTGTACCGCCAGGATGGCTCGAGAGATAGCCCCCGCTGTGAGTAAAGTTGTGAAGTAGTTTCTGTGTCTCTATAAAAGGCATTCATTTTTAACAGTTCCTTTTGTATGATGCATAGGAGATAGGATTATAAGTTTGTCCTTGAGAATGTTTACAGCCTGTATGTAACTTTCAAGCCAGTGTGGCCATGGTAGATCAGGGACAGCTCTGCTTGCTTGTCGTGCTGGGGGTGGAATAGGAACACGGTTGTTCCTCTGATGTTCAGAGGCATTACATCATACCTCTTGTGCACTGCCCCCAGCTGTCATGTTCGCTAAGCTATGAGACCCAGGCTGTTTAGATGCACGTGTTCTCTTTGTGGCAAATGGGAAGTGAATGCAACCTCTGGGCAGCAGTCACCTGTCCTCAAGGCAGCCATGGGCATTGAACCAGCATGGAAATCTCTGTAAATTTTCTGTCTGAAGGTGGAGAGGAACAGGGCCTCATGGCTGCTATGGAATACCATAGAGGCAGTATGGCTGTGTTGTGGGTACCGTCAGCCTCCTGGATGGCTCACTCTGAGTGGCGAGAATGAAGGCCGGTGCACCATCTAGGTAGATAATTCCATTGCATTCTTGGAGCCAGAACCTGCAGTAGAGGCTCTACCAGAGTCCTTCCTGCTATCATAAGTCCAAAATTCAGTTTCCTATGAGTTACTGCCTACATGTAAACCTGTTAGAAGCTTAAGACTCTTCAGTGTGGACATTGTATGTAAAACGTACTTCCAACTGAGGGTGTGCCTGTCCTTGGATGCTTTTTTCTCCATAAGAACTTGGGCTAGGATACTTACTGTCAGTCTTTAAAAAGGATTTATTCATCTTTTATTTATGTATGTGCACATCATGTGTGTGCAGGTTGTTTTCTGGACAGAGGGCATTAGAGTCCCTGAAACTGGGTGTATAGGCAGTTATGAGCCACCTGAAGGTACAAAGAACCCAGGTACACAAGAAGAGCAGTATGTGCTCAGAACTGTTAAGCTGTCTTTCCAGCCCAATGCCACCATTTTTGCTCTGTTACCTTGACTGCCAGGAAACACGACTTGAGGTCTGGTTATGTTGCCACAGATCTCACCCCTAGGTCTCCTTGACGTGATTTGAAATCTCTTTCAACTTTTACATTTTATTGTGATGTGGTTGTCACTCCAAGCCCCCTTGCTCGGGTCAGCTGTCTGCATGGTGTTGTGTTGCGTGAGGGCTCTATACTGGAGGCTGGCATTTGTACTCTTCTGTAGCAGAAGTCTCAACTGAGTTGCTGGGCTCACTCGCAGGGCCTTGCTTCCCACTCTGCAGACCCAGTCTGAAACCTCCTTGAGCAATGAGAGGCCCTTGAGGCAGCGCTGCGCTGACTCCAAAGTCACCTCTGTCCACATCAGTGCTCTCCATTCTGGGAGCCTGAGTGTGAGGTCCTAGATGTTGCATTCTGTGAGTGGGATCCAGGGAACTTGTCCTAGCCCTGCCACCTCTTGTCCTGCCAACTCCAGTCATTTGCATTGTGAGGCAGCCACACTGGCCCTGTGAGATTATTTTAAAGGCTTAAAAGCCAGTAATTCATTTTTTTTCAGTTAGCAGTTGTAGAGGGTGATTCTTAGACACACAGTCCTAAAAGCACTAGAATGTCTTTTCAGGGAACTGCTTGTCTCTGATGCCTTTTTTTAAAAATAAACAAACCCTTCTCCCAACTGCATCAGGATAGTAGATCTCCCAAGTATCTTTATGATTTAGTAGTTAATTTCTCCGAAGTTCTATGGACCACAAGTCCAGCATCAGTCTCAGCCGCAAAGATGTCTTCGCAGACACCTCTTTGACTTGTTTGTGCTCAGTCTTCATAGTCACATCTTGTCCCGCCCCAGCCAGTGAGTTCATCTCAACCATCTTGCTGAAGGGCAGCGATACCTGAAAATTTGGGGGACACTGTGGCCCATGTTGCCAGGAGGGAGACCTTATTGTACTTTCTTTTCTGCCTAAAGAGGCTTTAATCAGGTGGAGCGGTCTGTTTTGTTCCAGGTGACATAGGTGTGGTACTGAACTGTACCCCCAGTGCACAGATGCCTCTGAAAGTGCCTGAGTGTGAGTTAACTGATGTGGACCCACCCGCTGGACACCGGCCAAAAGGTGGCTCTGCTAAGAGCTGCAGGCCCAGGGAGAAAGAGCTGATGCCCTTACTCTTTTGTGTTTTCTGTTGTTGTTTCTCTAGTTCTGCATATGTTGTGAGGGACCTTGCAGCACATGGGTGGCTTTTCCCCTAGACACTGACATTTAGCTGATGACACTCACTACCCCCACCCCCACTGCAGATGATGGTCATTTTCAGGCTTGACATGTTATCCTGGCCAGAGCACCCAGGGCCCTGTGTTTCCTCCAACCTCTCACCAGGTGCTCCTGTGTGTGTGTGTGTGTGTGTGTGTGTGTGTGTGTGTGTGTGTGTGT